ACTAAATATACTTATATTTCTAAGATAATAACCAACATAAATGCAAATAAGACAATTAATCAAAAATTTAATATTTTAAAATATAAAAGATAATAGTTGAATTTATAGAAATAGATATATCTAAATGATAACTAAATCAACCGTAAAAACAATAAAACAGACTAAATATAACATATCTAAAATTATATATATAATTAAAATAATATAATATTATAATATAAATTAGACATATAAACTATAAAATTAATTTAAAAATTAAATTAAATATCAATCAGTTATTATTGTATATTTATTTTATAAATATACATGTCCGTGCATGAGCACGGGAAAATCACCTAGTTAAACTAATATGAAGATTTGTTATATTTTTATTGGTTATTTTAATTCATGTATATATTCTCAACGACTTACATTTTGACTTTCTAAAAAGCATTTAATAACCAAAGATAACAATTCAATATGTGGCAACATATAACCAATTGTTTTAGTCTTGATTAAACAATTTAAGTGGACAGTAAACACGTAGTCACGTACCGTAGATAACTTGGCTTATGTGTATATATATACACCTAAGTCCAAAAGAAAGAAAAACACTAACTCACAAGAAAAACTCTTGAAGACTTTTCAAGAATCAAAGAGATACAAATGATGATGATGGTACTTCTTTTCCTGTCAATAATTTGTTTTACCATTCTCTTCTTAAAAAAACAGTCAACATGCAAGAAAAGCAGCTCACCAAAGTCACCACCGAGACTTCCATTGATCGGGAACCTTCATCAGCTCGGCCGCTACCCTCACCGATCACTATGCTCTCTCAGCCATCGTTATGGTCCTCTCATGCTCCTTCATTTTGGTCGTGTCCCCGTTCTTGTAGTCTCTTCAGCAGACACAGCTCAAGATGTTTTGAAGACGCACGACCGTGTTTTCGCGAGCCGTCCACGAACAAAAATCTTCCGAAAGCTGCACTACGAAGGGCGTGACGTGGGCTTAGCTCCTTATGGAGAGTATTGGAGACAAATGAAGAGTGTGTGTGTCCTTCACCTCCTAAGCAACAAAATGGTACGGTCTTTTAGAGACGTACGAAAAGAAGAGATCAGAATAGTGATGGAAAAGATCAGGGAAACAAGTTCTTCTCGGATTAATCTAAGCAAGATGTTATCTAGTTTAACTAACGATGTTATTTGTAGAGTTGCTTTTGGAAAAAAATACGGTGGTGACACGAATTTTATGGAGTTGATAGAGAGGTTCGAGAAGCTGTTGGGTTCATTTAGTGTGGGGACTTACGTTCCATGGCTTGCATGGATTGATTGGATCTGTGGTTTGGATGCTGAAGTAGAAACGACGAGAAAAGATTTTGATGAATTCTTAGATAAAGTTGTAGAGGATCATGCAGATGGAGGTGGAGATAAGAATGACTTTGTCCATGTATTGTTAACCATTCAGAGAGAGAAGAGCATCGGTTTTGAAATCGACCGAATAAGCATAAAAGCCATTATCATGGTAACAAATCTAACTCAAATTAAATTATATAAATTCGGATTTAACATAGATTTTCAAGTTAAAATCAATTAGTGATATATGAATTAGTCTTAACATTTTATATGTTTTTTTCATGTCCCATTAAATTCACGAGGTTATATTCTCATAAATTAAGTTTTACTCTCTCTGTTTCATTATAAGTGTCACTCTACAGCTATGCACACAGATTAAGAAAATAATTAATTTTATATATTTCCTATATAAAAACACAATTACCTATACATATAACCATATTTTAACCAATAGAAAAACTAAGTATATAGTAAAATTAATAAATTTTACATTGAAAATCGAAAATGACACTTATTTTGTAAAACAAAAAATTTTCTACAACAATATGAAACAGAGGGAGTAGTACATAACCTTAATTCATATTTGTTGTTTTGGTTTTCACTTTTTCAGAATATTTTTGTGGGTGGTACGGACACATCTTTTACAGCTATGGAATGGGCAATGACAGAGCTATTACATCACCCAGAGTGTCTAAAAAGACTTCAAGAAGAAGTGCGTGGGATTTGTAAGGGCAAATCATTCGTATCAGAAGATGACATTCAAGGCATGAAATACTTAAAAGCTGTGATCAAAGAGACAATGAGGCTACATCCACCACTTCCATTATTGGTTCCTCATGTATCAACGCATGATGTCCGGTTAAGAGATTACTATATACCAGCCGGTACACAGGTTATTATCAATGTTTGGGCCATTGGGAGAGAGGCTGCAACGTGGGGACCAGACGCAGAGTTGTTTAGACCGGAGAGGCATTTAGATACGTCTGTTGATTTCAGAGGTCAGGATTTTCATTTGATTCCTTTTGGTGCAGGGAGAAGGATATGCCCAGCGATATCATTCGCTGTGATGCTGATTGAGTTGGTTTTAGCTAACTTAGTGCATCAATTTGATTGGAGATCTACAGATGATCAGAGTGATGTCCCTGAAGCAATTGGCATTGGCATTCGCCGCATGTTCCCTCTTTATGCCATTGCGTCTTCTACTAGTAAACATTGAGCGTTATGTATAATGAGATACATTATGTGAGGGGCGTTACCTTTTTCCCCGCCAGGGTATCTTGTTTTATTTGTCTTGTTAGCTTCCTAAAGTTGTTGTCATTAATTTGCTGTCATGTGATTTTGTTATTTTTAATCACTTATTTTGTTTTTGTGTTTAAAAAAATCACTTATTTTGTTTTCTCTCTCAAATTCAAGGTGTTTCTGTTGTTATTATTTATTAAAATAATTCATGTTTATATCGGTGATTATGTTTTAAAATATTCATGTCTTCTTCCAAAAACACAGAAATAATCCTGAAAGAACAGGCGCTCGTGTATTACTCAAGAACTTTATGTGTGACACAAAAGCTATTACTCAAGAGCTGTTAATTTTTATAAAAGCTGTTGCTCAAGAGTTGTTATAGATAGAAAAAGAATGTGAACTCATATGTTTGATCCAAGAAAAGGAAAAAGTCACATGAGCTTATAGAGTTCATAAAAATATCACGTGGGTCGTGTTTCAAAGAGAAACTAAAGACTTGAAATGACGTGGGTTTCAAGAACTTAGGATTTTTGCTCTGTTAATACTTTTTTTTTTTTGGGCAAACAAACATTTCATTCATCTCTGAGTTTAGTCTCCAAAGTTGGAGTTCATTCCATCCACTGTGAGACCAGATTTTGCCACCAAATCTGCCTCGGAATTAAAGTTGCGAGAAATGAAATTAAAGGAAATAACATCAAAGAGAGGGATAAATCGATAGATATCAAACATGATACCGAACAGTTCATGCTGATATTCCCCCATTCTCAATAACTTGATTAGAGAAAGGGAATCCGAAAGAACTGCCAGGGATCGGACGTTTGAACGAACAGCGGTGGAAACCGCCCGATGAACAGCGATGGCTTCTGCCATAAGAGCCGACGAAACATGCTGCTGTGCTTCCGAAATTACTGGAAGAGTTAATGGAACATCACCAGAAAAGATCACACCAATACCACATCTTCCTGAAACAGAATTCCAGGCCGCGTCAACTTTAGCCACCATTACTCTTGGTTGGATCGGTGGGGGAGGACATGGTGATCGTACACTGGTATAGTGGGTTATATCTCGAGGTATTATCACCTCATAAGTCTCCTGAGCCGTAGACCATTCCTTAGAGTCTTTAATGCTTTTCAATACGATCTCTGTTGCTGTGAATACTCTGTTTTCATACAAGAGTTGGTTCCTTGACCTCCACAAATTCCATAGCACCCAGGGCCACAGTGGGGACGAAGCTCCCGTCGGAGGTAGCGGTGTAAACTTACTGCCCTCTTTGATCAGTTCAGCAACTGGCGGTAAGTAGGTAGAAGGCCTTTGGGAAGTTGGTACCAGATTCCAAACTTCCGTCGCCAATGGACAAAGGAGAAAAACATGAAGATCATCCTCTATCCCATTACAGTTTTTGCAGTTAAAGCTTGCGATACCCCCTTCTCTCTAGGTTGGCGCTCACTGGAATGGCCTTCTTTACCACTCTCCAAAGGAAATCCTTTAGTTTCGGCGATGTCTTAAGATTCCAAATATGTTTGATCCAATTGACCGGTTCTCCATCAGTACACCATGATCTCGAAGCTGTAATACCAATTCCATACCCAGTCTTAACCGAGTAAGAGCCATTTTTCTCAGGGAGCCATACTAGCTCTGTTAATACTTAAACAGCACAAGGTGGTGACAGAAAAAAACTCATGCGCCTAGAGTTGGACCTTTACTTTTAATATAATCATTTGGTGTACAAAAAAAAATATTCACAGTTAATAGGACAACATTCATGATAGGATTATATGTACAAAAAAAATTCACAGTTATTAAAATATCCAGCTCTATGTTTAGAAGTATAGCTAGTTAGTAGGATAACTTTCATGATAGGATTAAATTGTGTATATGGCCTGAATCTGAAGGCAGTAAGAGGCCTTATAACCCATATGTCCACATTTACCATATTTTGAAGGCATCCATGAGTACAACATGAACCATCATGATAGAGCCACATGTGTCTTTCAAAACCACTTTTGAGGAATCTCTACCAAAATCTTTGTGTTCTCTCATTAGTGTTGGGTAAAGCCAAAGCCTACTCATTAGCATTGGCTTTCATATTCCTGATGCAGTTCAATCTATACATTTAACATAATATAACTAATTCGGAATGTTCTTTAGAGTGAACCAGATTGGGATTGCTGAATTTTTGTAAATTAGTAGTTGGGGAGGTTATCCAAGATGTAACAAACATGAGGCAGTCATCCACATGCTATGTACCCTTTTGAGTTACCCATTTGCGAGTTGTTTCAAAGAAATGATTCAGAAGATCTTGTCACAGCAAGACCAAAAACTATTATAAAATTTCTCCCTATAAATATGTAAATTACAAATTTACACACACACACACACACAATTCACTCTCCTTATAGGAATAGCACAAAAGCATCAGAAACTACAAATTCAAGAAACAGAGTGACACCTTCTCTTCTGAAACATGAATCGTTTCTCCGAGTTTGTCTTCTCCTCGTTATGCTTACCATTACCAACAACACTTTGGCTTCTTCTAAATCTCAACACGATTGAGTTCAACCTGTTAAGACCTCTAGAGAGCTTCCTAAACAGCCCATAACGAGTTCTCCTGCTCGGCTTCACGAACTCTCTCTTCATAGAAACATGATCCTTCTCAAGATCAGTCAGCCTCATCCTCATCCTCGCCACCTCAAGCCTAAGCTCTCTGTTCTCTCTTCTCACCGATGCGTAGTTGTCCCGAGGCGAAATCGCCCCGCTTGCCATCCCGCTTCCTGAACGGTTCGGGAACTGTCCAGGGAACAAGAAGAACTGGCTCTGACTCGAACCACATGCACTACCACCACCACCACCACCACTGGTCATCGAGTTCTTGAGCCGCGTCTGTTCGTAGAACAAGACTTGAACAGCTATTTGGATAGGAAGTCTCTCGTTCTGTGCCGCGTGGCTGCTTGCGTCTTGTGACAGTTTCTGACAGCTGATTGTCTTGCATAGACGGTATCGCTCTGTATCTTTCATGTTTGGATGAACCTAACTCAACAAAAAAAAAACCATCAAACCAAAAATCATAAGAAAACAAAAAAAAAACTTGAATTAATAATATTGAAACTTTTACAATTTATTAATTTATAAAGTTATTAATTTACAAAAAAATACTTATTAGATTTATATATTTTGAAGATTCTTTTATGTAAAAATAAGAGTTTACTTGATTACAGTAATGTATTAAAGAAAAATTATTAATATAAAATTTTTGTTATTTTTATTCAATTATTTGGTGTAAGAAATATGTATTGTAAATATAATAACATTTTAAGTTTTAAATGACAAAATAACATCAATATATTTAGACAAATTAAAGATAAACTTCTATCTGAATAATAACAGACTATACAATATGTTTTGCATGTATATAAATTTATATTATTAGTAATTTATAATCATATTGAGCTCATATATTTACAAATAATTTTCAAAAAGTTATTATTTTATTATCTTAAAGACTTACGTCATATTTTACAATGATCCAACACAAAACTGATATTTTATTAGTTATTAATTTATCATAGAGTATTTATTTTATAAATTTTGTTCAATACTCTTAGCTTTTGAGTTACCTTGAGGAAGATATCAATGGCTCGGTAAAGACCATCACAGACAACACGGGCATGGTCAGGGAGAAGCTCAGCGAGAGCTACGAACTTCAAAGGAGGAAGGTTCGAGTCAAGAGCCACCTCAGCTAGATAACTATCCATCAGCTTCGACACCTTAAACATAGAGCTCTGTTTCGGAGACTCATTCCCTTCAAAATCATACATAGCCATCTCACTCTCCTCCACCACATCTCCCTCATCATCATCCTCATCTTCGTATTCACACTCATCAAGATTCAAGAACATAGAGAAAATCCTCTGCACAGAGTCAGTATCATACATAGCCCCACCTCCTACATGCGCAGGAATCAAGATATCTTCAAGAATCGCTTGATCAAGATTGTGACTGATCCTTCTCTCAAGATCCGACCTACAAGAAACAGAGGTTCCTGAACCTATAGCTGTCTTCAACAAAGTGGATAAAAACGAGACAGGTATCGAGCTTTTGTTGGCTTGTGTCGGAAGCAAACCAACGATCACTTCGAGGATGACTCTTTGTTTCTTCTGAAGATCGGAATCAAGAACTATACTTCCTTTAACAAGACTCGGTTCTCTAATGATCTGTAACGACTTACGAGCGTAGCTTATTAATATATCGCTGATGATCTCATGATCAAGACCTTTGGACTTCATAGCAGAGACAACTCTCTGGAAGAAATCAAGTTTAAGGATAAGCAGAGACCTTCCCCACCAATCAGAAGGTTTCTCCGGAGTCACAGCTAACCTCTCGAACTTCTGGTCAAGCTTGAGCAAACCAGAGACGAGCTGTTCTTTACACGCGTTTACAGCGATCGCGTTCACGAGCCTTCCCACGAGGCTAATCTCTTCAGCTACGGGTGATGATAGCTTCTCTATGGAGTGGAGAACGGTGATGGAGTTGGAGATGTCGTTGAAGATGGAGTCTTTTAAGTAAGCCTCTGTTCTCGCCTCGAGATTCTTCTCTGATAGCTCCTCTGTCATTTCTAGGTAATGAGCCACGCAACGTAAGGAGGCTATGTTGGATGACGTGAACTGTAGAACGACGCCGTAGCAGAATTTCGCGGCGAGTTCAAAGGCTTCTGAGCCGCCGGGGACACCCGGTAGGTTCAGGTGCTTTGTGTCTTTGGATTCAAGAAGAAGTTTCCTGATTCTTCCACTCCGAGAGACGAGAGGAAACTGAACAAAAAAAAACAGAAATATTGCTTGTCTGAAAAAAAAAAAAAAAAAAAAAAAACAGAGACGATGGCTTGTCTGAAAAACAAAAGAAAAAAAGAACAGAGACATTGGCTTGTCTGAAAAAAAAAAAAAAAAAGACAATGGCTTGTCTGAAAAATATTTTGTCTTAAACCATTGACAAGTTTAGTTTTGAAATTTATTATTACCTTGTGAAGTGAAAAGCTTGCAGAGCCCACTTCTATGGTTAAGTCACTAGTAACGTCCGAGCCCGGCCTGGAAACACACACACAATATTGTGAAACGTTAGAATCTTTTCTTGTCTGAAAGAAAGGGGAGAGATTAAGTACCATTGAGGAGTGTGTCTGATGCTGGAACTGGGACGAAATGCTCTTTTGGTAGAAACACTTTGCTTAGACTCAGGAACAGTTACAACACCCATTTTGGATCTCTTCTTTACAAAACAGATCACAACTTTCTCTTTTTTTTTTTTTTTTTGGTTTTGGTGTTTCTTATCAGACAATTTAGCAAACCGATGTTATCGCAAAGACCTGCAACATATGCTTTTGTGTTTTCTACCGAGATTGTTTCTTTCTGTCGGCTGCAAATGCTCGCTGTGTCTCTGTCTCGCTTTACAATGTGAAAGATTGTGCGGAGGAGTTGAGTAAAGAATTCAAAAAAATGAATATTGTTTTATGGACATTTAAATTAAATTAATATAAAAGTTAGGTTGATGCTACTTTATTTTCCGGGAATTAGGACACTAATCCCGCTTACTATAGGTAGACGACTATGGGTATTTGAGTGTTTATGATCTCATGTCACTGGTAGTTTTCATCTAATTATTCCTAGTTGGTAAACTTTTTTGGCCACATGTTGTAATAGTATTTATTTGATAATCTTAGCTAGCTGATGATTGATCATATTAATACTAGAATGAATAGGTGTAAAAAGAAAGGTAGAAAATAGCTTTCTCAAAAAATAGGGTAGACAAATAGAAGATCGAAAACACTTCAGGTTATTGAAACTGTTAATAACTACGAACGGCTAGACTAACATTTTCTTGTTCTTTTTGGAACAAACATGACTTATTTATACTCTTTATTCATTATTAAAAATGTAAAAGTAGGAAAATTTAGTAAATGTTATGAATTGTCAAAAGCAGAAGTATGTTTTAAACCTGAGTTAATGGTATACTACGACTGAATATATAGATATATACGTATATAAATTATATACCGCAATCTATGACTGGATATATTTTCACTTTTGTACTTTTTGTTTTGTGATTGAAAAGCAATATTTAGGTGATTATAGAGTAAAAAGTCAATTAAGTGTGCTGTTTATTACTTATGCTTTTCGGTGAAAAGTTCGAAAGGTTTCTTATCTTGTCTGTTATTTACACGAGTTATTTTAAAAAAATTTAGAAATCAAAAGAAAACAATCAATTGCAGGAAGTGTGAATGGTTGCAGTTGCATTGCTTTTGGGGGTTATCATCATACCTCTATGTTTTGTTTTTCAACCCCGCAATTTTTTTTTGTATTTAAAGTAGCTTAGACAAGAAAACAAATGCTGGAAAAAGAATAGTAGCAGATTAAATTAAAGTTATCGAAAAGAAGGTGCCTATCCTACTTAAAAATCAAATAATGTCATACATGATTCGTTAAAAGATTATCTCAATCAGTCAAAGTTAAATGTTGGTATGTGTTCTCTTATTGTTAAATTTCCACAAGATGTCTTGATCAACGTAATAACTGCAACATAATTTGCGTTCCTTCATCTTCTTTCCGAAGATTTGAGAAAGGACGATTATCTACCTCGTTGCATATTACTAAGTACTAACCACATCCTTCTAACGTTCCCAACTCCAAATTATGAGTAACAAACCTAGCATGAAGAGAACGTTTCCACATAGTTTGATTAAAGAAGTGATGTCCACTTGGATACTAGAACAAGATTAGATCATCCAGTCTGCTTCATTGCATTACCACTTACAATAAAAGAATTTATCCCGCAAACTAGAGTATATATAGTTTATTATTCAAATATTCACAATTGACAAAACAGAAAAGGAAAGAGAGTGTTTGTGTGTGTGTTTGTATGAGAGAGAGAGAAAGAGGTTGGGAAACAAATAAGAGCAAATGATGCTTGGGGAATAATAGTTTCTTTATCTGGTAGGGTTTTCTCTAAGATTACTTCCTCCTCAACAATTTTAAATAGAAACAAAATTTATATCCATCATTTCTTTGTCTCTTTTCATACCACTTTTGCAATGCTATGATCGATTCTAGGATTAGTGCGCTGGACGAACGCGTATTGCGTTTCACTCACCGCATGTCCCCTCTTAACGCCACTGCACCATCCACTACTTAAAATATTATAATCTTGTATCCGAATATCAAGATTTTTCTATTTCAAGATTTTTAACTACTCAATACCCTAAATTCATCTGTTAAAAAAGAATCCTAAATTCCTGAAGAATCGGCACCAGACGCCTACATGGAAGTGGATTTAGCATTGGCAGGGCCGGCGTTGGGCAAAGCCGGATGAAACATTAGCCTCGGCCCCCAAATTTTTATGAAAAATTTACATGTATACCGGCCCCCTAAAAAAAAATTTTAGGCCCCCAAATCCGTAGAAAAATTTTTTTAGGTGAAATCGTTCAAAAATCGTCTTAGGCCCCATAATTCTCAGAGCCGGCCCTGAGCATTGGCTTGGAGTCTTCAAAACAAACATAGACCAAATTTCCTGAAACACATAACTACATGTGGTTGCTTCTTATTGGACAAACATGAAGTCAACAAGTTGACGAATGTATCAATATTTTCTTACACGTCCACTAATTTACGGGTCTACGAATATATTAGGATCCCCGATAATAACGTTAATGCTATGATTCGTGTATTTCTTCAACTTTGTATAATATATATTGGAATACATAACATATTTTTAATCTAACATACTCTTATTTAATCTAATACTAGATTTTGATCCGCGCTTGAAAAGCGCGAAAATTTTTTTATGATTAAAAATTTATATAATTGGGTTTTGTCTTAATTTAAAGAATGTTTTGGTATAAAATTAGTGGTGATAGTTGTTTTTCATTAGTTTTTAGTTTCAGTTTTTATTTTTAGATTTTGTTTTAAATTTTGGTTTTTGGTTTTTAGTTTTTAAGTTTCTATTTTTGATTTTCAGCTTTTGGTTTGAGTTTTTAATTTTTAGACCCGCTGAGTTAGTTTGAACTGATATTACTAACAAACAAATCTCAATTAATCGAACATGTAATTTAAAACTGAAAAGATGACAAAATAATTTTCTAAAAAATTTGAAATAGTTTATTTTCATAAAATTCCATAAAGCACATTCATATATTTCTTGTAAAACACTTTTTTGAGTTTTATTTGTAAGGCAAAGCAATCATTCATACATTACTATCAGCAAAATCCGAGAATAAAAGAAAAATAAATTTCAGGCACTTATACAACCATTGCACTTCATCGTTTATGTGTCAAAGTTTACAAAATCTTAAACTAACAACAAACAATATTCCAAATTTACAAAAATAAAAAATAAACCAGGAACTTAAATGCCAGAATGCAACATTTCCATATGTCGTGCTTACATACATGGTTATGAATGTACACTTAAAAAATGTATTATGTGTAAGCAACATGATTCTTTATTTTTTTATCCAACATCATAATTCCTAAATACATGCTAATTATCAAATCAAGCATTAGACGTTAATTATGCTGACCGTAAACTTGTATCATGAACAGTCATTATAACGAATGTAACCTAAGTGTTGCTATCAAAGTTTTTTATATAATCTAAGTGTATGAAATTATAGGACATAAATATGTATTCATAGAATAAAGATAATCAGAAATATAGTTTTGTTAGAAAAAACTTTTATTCTTACTATAGTTTATATTAGTGAAATTTTTACTTGGAGAAATTTATGGACATATACTACTTATAGATTTTGGAAGTTCTATATGAACGATTACAAAAAAAGATGGCATGGATTGCATGGACGGACCTTACAAAACCCAAAGCGTTGGGAGGGCTAGGATTCAGAGACTTCCAACGATACAACGAAGCAGCCTTGGCAAAGCTCAGCTGGAGAATCTATGAAAATCCAAATTCACTGCTCAGTAAAACTCTAAAAGGGAAGTATTTTCCTGAGGGAGATATTTTGAACATTGAGGCGGTGTCTGCGATCTCACATGGTTGGAGAAGCGTCCTGGTCGGAAGAGACTTACTGATTCAGAATTTGGGATGGGTTGTTGGAAATGGTCAAAAGATTAACATTTGGTATGACCCTTGGCTTGATCTCTTGAAGCAAAAACGCCCTTATGGCCCAGCCCCGGAGGCTCTGGCGAATCTCACTGTGGCGGATCTGCGGATAAACCGGGAAGGGGATTGGGATATTGAGAAAATCAGACAGATCTTACCTCTATACGAGGAGGATATCCTAGCCATCAAACCAAGTACTGAAAACGCCCCCGATAAGCAAGTCTGGCTTGGAACCAAGTCAGGTTCATACTCCATAAAGTCTGGGTACTATTTTGCCACTGCCTTGGAGGAAGAAGCTGAAGAAACGAGACCGAGTGTCAGCAGCCCCTGGTACAAGAACGTGTGGAATCTTAAAGTCTCTCCAAAGGTGAAAATGTTTGCTTGGAAAGTGCTAAAGAGAGCTGTACCTACAGGAGAACGACTTGTTGAACGACATGTGGATATTGATCCTAGATGTAAACGTTGCGGAGAATCTGAATCTATCTTTCATCTTTTATTTCACTGCCCTTTTGCTCAACAGGTATGGCGTGATGCCCCCCTGGAGTTGGGTTTTGATCCGAGAGGAATGGTAGATTTGGAAGCGAGATGGACAGGCCTTTGCGCAAAGCCGTGCTTACCCCCGACAGGAATTGTTACGAGTCAACTCTTCCCCTGGATTCTATGGATTCTGTGGAAGGAACGTAACAACTTCGTTTTTAAAGGATGCTCTGCTACTCCTGAGGAAGCTCTCTCTAACGCCATTAAAGCTGCCAAGGAATGGGAACAAGGATGTAAGATAGAGAAGGTCTCCCTCCCTAAGAGCATTCCAGGACCGACTGTAACACACTCTGCAACTACGGTTGTCCGCTCAGATGCAGCGTGGAGGAAAGAAGACAAGAAAGCCGGGCTTGGCTGGACGGTTAAGAATGCAAGATTCGAAATTCGCAAGAAGAAACCTCATTGGCATGTGGCCTCACCTCTGATTGCGGAGGGTCTTGCCATTCGAGAGGCTCTGCTTTTTTGCAGAGATCGTGGCTTGAATAATATCCTCCTAGAATCTGACTCTTCCCAGCTTATAAGAGCTATAAATCAGGAAGAAAGTATCTATGAGCTTCATGGTATCCTCTCAGACATCCTCCATCTTAGTCGCCCCCCTGAAGTTTCGATTTCTTTTGCTTGGATCCCTAGAAATCAAAACCTTGTCGCTGATTCCTTGTCTAAGGAAGCATTATGTATGGTTGAGGCTTTTATTGCCAACACCTAACTCTGTGTTCTTTTAATTAATGAAAGTGGTGTTCAAAAAAAAAAATGAATAGTCATAACTTTCAAATTATTAGTAGTTAATAATCACATTTTTCAAGTTAAAATTAGTTATTTTTA